TTTGGTCGCGCACCTGCGGTCGGCCGCGGCCCTGCTCGGCGGCGCGGAGTGAGCAGGCAGCCGGACCGGCGGCCGCTCGCGTGGGAAAGCGGTGACGTCGGCCACCGTCCTCGTGCCGCCGCCGCCGACGACGGCGACGACGCACGTCGATACGGGAGCCGACGCGCAGTCTGGCGGCGGCGGCGGCGGCGGTGGCGACGGCGGCGGCGGCAGTGTAGCGGGCCGAGCCGGCGCGGCCGCGCGCGCCCGGGTGCGTCGGCCGCCGCGAGCGTGGCGGAGAGCGGCGGCGGCCGCACCTGAGCACATCGATCGCCGCCGGCCGGGAGTCGCCGACGCCGAGCGCCATGTGGCAGCGCGGCCCGGCCAACGGGCCGGCCGGCGGCGGCGGCCAGCAGCGCGCCGCGCCGCCCGCCGCCGCCGCCGCCGCCGCCGCTGCTGCCCAGTATGGCGTGAGTCTGCCCGCCAGCGCGGCCCCCGTCGTACCTGTGCACCTGTGGTGGCCCGACGACAGGGCCTGCCCTGGATGGCGCCGCCGCCGCCGGGCCGGGGTCTGGGGCGCAGCAGGCGCAGTGGAGCGCGCGCCGCTCCAGCAGGGCGTATGTGGCAGGTTAACTGGAGGTTGTCGGCCGGCCTGTCTACGGCTGCGAATTCGCTGAGGGCGGTCAACAGGCGTGCCAGGGGCCGTGCCAGAGCAGATGGAACGGGCGTGAGGGCGGCCCGCGGTGCACCGGCGATTGGTCTGATAGCACGCTGGACCGCCGCGACCTGGTGCCGCCTGCCGCTCAGTTATCGCCCAATGCCCTCTTGATGTCGCAATGTCATTCTTTTTCCGTGTTTTCTTCTATAACGTGATCTTCCTGTCGCTGTGTTTGCTGTCGGTACGACTCTGTCTGCCTTCGCGTCAGTCGCGTCGGTCGGTCGATGTCGTGTTTTGTGTGCAGCGCGACGCATTTGCTGCTTTTTCGCCGCTCGTTTTCGAAAGCGCATCGACGGCCACTGTACTGCTGGTTTGCGCAGCTGTTTATCAGGGATTACTGGACCCTCCATAGAGGCAGCAGCGTTTGTCGCGGCCCGTTAGCCTGCATGTCCTTCACTCCGTCGGGGCTGCTCGGCGTCCGACCGTCGCCGGCTTTGGTCGGCGCGCGTCTGTCAGCGTGGATTGTTTTCGCCGTGTTGTTGCCCGGTGCGCCGTGTTGCGTGCGGGGAGGGTGGGCCGCGCCAGGCTTGAGCTGGCCAGCAGTGATGTATATTTAATCAGCGGCTGGACGCTCAGCTCCAGCTCTTCGGCCTATCGTTCCCTGACTTGGACGGCGTCGGGTCGGTCGTCTTGGACGCTTAGCTCCAGCTCCGCGGTCTATCGTTCCCTGATTTGGACGGCGTCGGGTTGGCCGTCTTGAACGCTCAGCTCCAGCTCCACGACCAATTGTTTTCTTTTTTGGACGGCGTCGGGTCGGTCGTCTTGAACGCTCAGCTCCAGCTCCCGCGACCAATCGCTCACTGATTTGGGCGGTCTTGGACGCTCAGCTCCAGCTCCGCGGCCAATCGTTCACTGATTTGGACGGCGTCGTGTCGGCCGTCTTGAACGTCGATGCGTGTCCGTCGATTTCGGGCTTCAGTGTAGCACCTTGCTTGGCACGGAAACCCAGATCAGTGAAGGATTTTCGTCGGATGGTGTGGGAAGATCGGGGCTCTTCGTCTCATCAGTGGAGCTCCCTAGGTGTGTTTTATCTATCCAGCGTGGCATATTTTTAAGAGTTTCAAGTTATTGGTCGTATTACATAACGTTTGTGGTAGTTGTTTTTTAAATTTCGCACCGATTGCAGAAGGCTGTTGTGCTTGTCCTGAATTACCAGCTGGCTAGCAAGCTCGTTCCATTGTCAGTCTTACGTTCCCAAAATCAGATGCACGGCAGTCATCAGCAGCGGCCGTCCCGCCTGCTGCGGGCCAGGGACTGTCTGCCGTATGGAGACGTGTGGTGTAGCCGCGGCGTGAGAAACAGAATGTGCCAAGCGTGATAACTGAAAAATTAGTTTTGTGTAGGCATTTGGTAAGTTCCGCTCCGCTCCGCTCAGGAGCACCGCTCCGGTGCTCCCGCAGACCTTGGATCGTGTTGTTTAGATCGTGAATATTGCTATTAAATTGGATGCGTTTGAAGAGCCACAATGCCTTTGTCATAGGCTAGCTGAAGCGTGGACCTCATTTACCGTTGTTAAGGCATCCGTGTTTTTCACTTGGCAGTGAAAATAACTGATCGTCGTCACTCCCATGCATTATCGATCTGTGCGATGTCGTGTCAACTCGGCTTCCGTTCGATTCCCCGCGTTGGCCTCCCTTCCTGCCAGACGGGCGACGCCATATAGCTTCAGCAGCTGAGCGTGTCGTAAAGCCCCAATGACCCACATGCAGACAGCGCGCCCCCCGTGCCCAATACTGCTGGGGGGGGGGGGGGAGGGGGCACCGGTGCCGAGTTATACCACCGGCGAGGACGGGCCGCCGCGCTCCTGGGCAACAGGTTCCCTCGACTCCGATACAGCCGGACATGGGCTGACGAGGCGCTTGCGGTGGGCGTACTGTTACTGCCCGAACAGTGTTTTGACGGGGTGTGGAAGGAAAAATGTCGAATCGGTTTGATTTGAAAGGACTTTTCAGTTTTCAAAATTAGCTCGCTGTCCGTCGAAACCACGGGCTCTTATGTCGAAAGCATGTGCTATTACGTTCGAAACCATGGTATATGATAGCGAAACCATGTGCTAGTTTGTCAAACCATCGGCTATTATGTCGAAACCATGGTCTGTTATGAATCGGAATCAGGACGTCAGATCGTAGCTAATCGGCATGAGGAGGGCCAGCATACTCAGGGCGCTGTGGAATTTCTTGGGTCAGTGGCTGGCGGCGCGCGTGCGCGGTAGACAGGGCATGACCACTGCATGTTGCATCGTCCCCGCCAGTGCTGCCTTGGCGTCTCGAGTTTACAGATTTCCTGGCGCCCGTGTTCAGGTTGTGGGAGTTTTGTGAGTTGTGGGAGTTTGGGAGTTGCGGGAGACAGACTGTTACCACCTCCTCAAATCGACGTTGCCTCAGACCTACTGCTGTCAAAGTTAGTGCGTAGAACGACGGTAGAGAAACGGATATGCCATCAATGATGGATCACCGTTGTACATTCACGCTATCCCCTCCGGAAGCAGAACGTGTCAAACTGGTGTCGCAGCGACAGACTCATGTTCAAGAGTATGCTGCTGGTGGTGCCGCTGCCAAATTACCACACATGTTCCGTGACATGCTGTCGCGTTCAGCAGCCGCTTGCCGCCTTGTACTGCTGAGTGCTGGTGATCTCTGCCATGCTGTGCGTTGTAATGAAGCCGTGGGTTGATTCCCTGCCGTCGCCGGATGCCCGTCGGATGCCAGTCCTCGCCGTCGCCGGATGCCGGTCGGATACCGGATGCCGGTCGGATACCAGTCCTTGCCGTCGCCGGATGCCGCGGATGCTAGTCCTTGTCCGTCGCCGGATGCCGGTCGGATGCCAGTCCTCGCCGTCGCCGGATGCCGGTCGGATACCAGTCCTCGCCGTCGCCGGATGCCGGTCGGATGCCAGTCCTCGCCGTCGCCGGATGCCGGTCGGATACCAGTCCTTGCCGTCGCCGGATGCCGGTGGGATGCCAGTCCTCCGTCTCCGGATGCCGGTCGGATACCAGTCCTTGCCGTCGCCGGATGCCGGTCGGATACCAGTCCTTGCCGTCGCCGGATGCCGGTGGGATGCTAGTCCTCTCCGTCGCCGGATGCCGGTCGGATGCCAGTCCTTGCCGTCGCCGGATGCCGGCCGACGCTAGTCCTTGCCGTCGCCGGATGCCGGTCGGATGCTAGTCCTTGTCGTCGCCGGATGCCGGTCGGATGCCATCCTTGCCGTCACCGGATGCCGTCGGATGCCAGTCCTTGCCGTCGCCGGATGCCGGTCGGACGCTAGTCCTTGCCGTCGCCGGATGCCGGTCGGATGCTAGTCCTTGCCGTCGCCGGATGCCGGTCGGATACCAGTCCTTGCCGTCACCGGATGCCGGTCGGATGCCAGTCCTTGTCGCCGGATGCCGGTCGGATACCAGTCCTTGCCGTCGCCGGATGCCGGTCGGATACCAGTCCTTGCCGTCACCGATGCCGGTCGGATGCCAGTCCTTGTCGCCGGATGCCGGTCGGATACCAGTCCTTGCCGTCGCCGGATGCCGGTCGATGCCAGTCCTCGCCGTCGCTGGATGCCCGTCATGCTAGTCCTTGCCGTCGCCGGATGCCGGTCGGACGCCATCCTTGCCATCGCCGGATGCCTCCCAAGTGTGCTGTTGTGGGGATCTCAAAGACCGCTCCCCGGCTGGTGTTCAGCCTGCGGACGCTCCGATGTCTGCACCGTCTCAACCGGGCGACGGAATCGCCCCAGGGCTCATAAATCGTCTCGGCGGCCGGGGTTTTCTGTGCGATATTCGTCGGTAGTCTGGCGGGATATGGGGCCCGGCCGGCGGCTGCTACAGATGTCTCCTCTGTGGGTGTTTGGCTCAGTCTGCTACAGTTCGCCGCACGTCGGCCGCTGATGGCTGGCGACTGTGGACACTGTGGACACGCCAGGGTTGGAAGGCCTCCCGACGACACTCATTATGCTTCACCCGCACGTCGTGGGTGGAACGCCGACTGTGGCGTTCCTCTGATAATCGCTGCTGCTAAATCGCACTGCCAACGATTCATTTCAAGACGAGTTTGTCTACTCAGTCATTTAATCATTGTTTGCGCTTTTAAAATTAACTGATAGTCCAGATTCATTGACCAGTGTTTACCACTCCCATGCTCTTGGGGAGTTTTTTTCAGCCTAGACGCCATTCCATAGATTCACTCAGTGGTCAGTTTTTATAAACGCGTTGGGTATGCTGGGGAACGTTGCACCTTCGTCGCCTTTGCCTGATTATGGTGTTCATGGTCAGGTGGCCGTCACGTGACCGTGCCCTGACCGTTTTCCCGTCCCGCAGAACGTGTTACGCGAGCTGGAGTCGCGCAAGCCCCAGCTGAGTGATCTGGTCAACTCCGCCGACGGACTGAAGGACGACTCCAACCGGCAGCAGGTGCACACTAAAGGTCGGTTGGAGCGGCTCGGGACGACCGGCGGCCACCCAAGACGCTGGTCCGGCCCGGCCGGCCAGGTCCAGGGCACTGGCCCGAGGCGACCGGCGGCCACCCAGGGCGCTGGTCCGGCCCGGCCGGCCAGGTCCAGGGCACTGGCCGCTGACCGCTGGCCGCCGGCCGTCGGGCAGCGGTCCCATCTGCAGGGCGGTCACTGCCGGCCACTGTCGGGGGCGGGGGACAGCAGTGGGACAATGCCTTTGCTGGAAGCCGTCAGGATGGGCTGTGGATGGTGGGGGCGGCGAACCGGAAATGAAGAAACCAGACATGTGTGAAGGCCCAAAAAAGATCTTGGGGTCGTATAGTACAAAACATGTTTTTATGGGATCTTGGATCTACCTTTGGAATCCTGGCATCTTTCTGTTAGAAACTATTGGGCCACGTAATTTTTTAGAGGTATACTACTTTTGGGATACGTAATATCCTCCTCCAGGTCCTGATATACCTATGGGGAGGCTATGAGCGAGGGATCCGATCTGGTTGTGAAGGGGTATGGACTATAAATATAAAAACAGTGAATAAAGCGAGTGAGTGCTATGGTGACGAGGTCTGAACCATGCTGTGGCGTCCTGAACTGAGCGGACGAGATCCGCCCCTGAGACTGCGGACTGGAACCTGAGCCCTGGGGACGTGGGGTGACCTCTCAGGACAAGCTCTGAACTGTGCGGACGAGATCCGCCTCTGAGACTGCGGACTGGGCACCTGAGCCCTGGGGACGTGGGGTGACCTCTCAGGTCAAGCTCTGAACTGTGGCGGACGAGATCCGCCTTGTGAGACGCGCGGACTGGGGACCCTGAGCCATGGGGACGTGGGGTGACCTCTCAGGTCAAGCTCTGAACTGTGCGGACGAGATCCGCCTCTGGGACTGCGGACTGGACCTGAGCCCATGGGGACGTGGGGTGACCTCTCAGGTCACAGCTCTGGAGATGAACTGGAGACGCGACCCGAACTGTCAGGACCTCCTGGTGGCCGTGGGGCGACTGGGGTCTCTGGGAGTGAGGTAGAAGGGTGGTTTTAGCTGTCGGTGGAGGTGCGGGCTGTCGGCCGTATGGTATAAGCTATGGCACGACATGTCAACCGTGAGGACGAGACCTGACTATGGAGAAGAGCTGGAGACTCTGGGAAGTGAGACTGCTGGGGCCTCGAGCATGTGATGAAGCTTTGCATTTCCAGACCTGTCTCATAATACACGGGAGAGTCACCGTACCAGATGCCTGTCCCACAGTACACGGGAGGGTCACCGTACCAGCTGCCTGTCTCACAATACATGGGAGAGTCACCATACCAGGTGTCTGTCTCACAGTTCACGGGAGAGTCACCATACCAGGTTGCTGTCTCACAGTGCACGGGAGAGTTACCATACGAGGTGGCTGTCTCACGGTTCACGGGAGAGTTACCATACCAGGTGGCTGTCTCATAGTACACGGGAGAGTCATCATACCAGGTGGCTGTCTCACAGTGCACGGGAGAGTCACCGTGCCAGCTGCCTGTCTCACAGTACACGGGAGAGTCGCCACAGCAGATGGCTGTCTCACAGTACACGGGAGAGTCGCCATAGCAGGTGGCTGTCTCACAGTACACGGGAGAGTCGCCATAGCAGGTGGCTGTCTCACAGTACACGGGAGAGTCACCGTACCAGCTGCCTGTCTCACAGCACACGGGAGAGTCGCCATAGCAGGTGGCTGTCTCACAGTACACGGGAGAGTCACCGTGCCAGCTGCCTGTCTCACGGTACACGGGAGAGTCACCGTGCCAGCTGCCTGTCTCACAGTACACGTGAGAGTCACCGTGCCAGCATGCCTGTCTCACGGTACACGGGAGAGTCACCGTGCCAGCTGCCTGCGCTTCATACAGTGCATTACGTAATCGCCCCCGCCGCCGCAGCTTAAGCAGCTCACGTTGTGCTGCCATTCAGTAGATTCCGGCCATGAAATATTCAGGCCCGGGCTGAGCTTCTAGACTGGCAAGTAGCAAGCTGATGTGCCAGTCAAATTACATCTCCCAACGCGGCATATGTGGTATCTCCCTTGCCGCTCATCTCAGACCCGTGGGGTTAGGTTGTGGTGGAAGGCTGCCACACCTGCAGCGCATCAGCGGCATCAAACACCTGGTGTCAGCGACAAACAGGTTGGCTAGGCTCAACGCTGTCGACAAAAGGATCGAGGATGTCTGTAAGCCGAGCTTGATATCGCAGGTAGACATTCTTCTCTCTACTCGGAGGTTTCTGATGACTGATAGTTTGAAGTCAATCGCTGCTAAACAAAGGCTGTGCCCATGTTAAAGCTCAGAAATGTTAGGGAGGAACGTGAACGCTTCTAGACGTACGTATGCAATTAGTTCCACCCTCGTTTGACAATGCCGGATTTGCTAATGTCAGGTTCGTGATTGATCTCGATTTCGTCGTGGCCGCACGGTGTAGTTTGACTACGGATGCATCCATGGCTTATCCTCCCTGTGTGGTCCTCGGCAGGGTCGCCACCCTGGTCGGGTCACCGGCTGGCTTGCGTCTCCGCCCGTGCGATCCGACCTGACCCCTGTCGTCCTCCTTCCGGTGCCGCCTCCCCGCCTCCCTTCCGGCCTGCCGCCGACGTCTCGCGCCGCTGCCGCTGTTTATGAAGCGGCCGCGCCGGTAATAACAACGTTACCATTTCCACCCGGTAATCCGTGGCCAGAATACTGAGGAGCGGCGGCGGGCGGGAGAAACACGGCTCGTCCGCCGGCGGTGGCCGCTGCGCCGGCGGGCCGCCCACCCCGGTCGATACACGGGAAGTTGGCGCCACTTTATCCCCCCCGATAGCCCTTCGCGGCGAGAGCGTCGGGCACTGATAGCAGCGCGGCCGGCAGCGGGGGCGGCGGCGGGCTGGGGGTGGGTCGGCGTCCCAGATGTCGCTGACGGAGCCGTCGCCGGACCAGAGCCGGCGTCCGTGGCGGTGCGCCGCGCTGATAGCCTGTTCGGCGCCTGATTACGGGGCCGCCAGCTGGGATTCGGCGCCGGAAATTCCGGCGGCCGCGGCGGACCGCGGTGCCGCCGCGTCATGGGCCAGCAGCCGCGGGGTGTGGCGGAGTTAAACGTGTTGTCAGTCGGGCTGAGCACCCCGCCAGGAATTGGACGGGCGAATCACCCAATTTTACTGGTGTCGAGCCTGACGAGCTGGATGAAATTCCAAATGTAATCCGATACTTGGGCTGCATAATGTGGGGACGCCCACAGCCGTCGGAAATGAGACAAATGTTTAATGACGCATGCGTCATTAGCCACCTGAGGACATTTGCATTTTCGTTGTTATCCACGATTTCATCGCACTCCAACAGCACGCCTAGTTTTTGGCACGTGATCTTGCTAACGCCTAGCTGGCACCCGGTCACCCGGCTGCCTGAGCCAGACCGGCCAGCTGGCGCTCTTCGGAGTAGGTGCTGGGCGCCGGGCGCTGACCCGGCCTGACCCGGCTGCTGTCCTGGCCTCGGGCTCGTCGCTCAGCCGCGCCCGGTCGGCCGGCCGGCGCAGCCCATCCCGGGATCCGCGCCGCCAGCCGTCGCTCACGCTGACGTACTTATTCGGCCAGTTAAAGCTAAGTGGCCGCTATATCAGGCCGCCGGAACGGAGCGGCGCGTGCTGGCTCGCCGCCCGGCGCCGGCCGCCGGCGTCGGCCGGCCCCCAGCTGGTTCTGGCCAGCACCGGACCGCTGCGAGCCTCGAGTGAAATGGCACGGCTGACCCCGAGCTCACGCCGGCTCGGACTGACGTGACCGTGCGGTGGCGTGGGCTGACACGAGGGACGGCGGTGCCAGGTCCAGGGCCGGCGCGCGACAGCGCAGCTCCGGCCCGCCGGTGTCGGGTGGCGTCGCCGCCGCCGCGTGGCTGTGGACGGAGCCGGCGGCGGCGGGCCGGGCCCCGGCTGGCAGCGGCGGCTCTGAGCTCGCCGGCAGGTCGATGTCGGCTCGCTCGCTCTCTCTCTGTCGCTCTCTGTCGGCGGCCGGTCGTGGCCGGGCTGGTGGTCGGTCGGCGACAGCGGTCGCCGCCGCCCGCGGCGTTATTACGCGGCGGACCCAATTAAAGCGGCCGCCAGTCCCGATTAATAGGGCGGCGACTGTGACGTCAGAGCGGCTGGCGTGCCGCCCTGCAGCTTAATCAGCCTCTAATGATCCGTTAGGTTTTATGAATATGCCCACACTGGACTTAACTGTCAGAGGGGAATCAGTCATAAAAGGATATTTATTTGACGGCCGGAGGGGGGCGCGCTCGGACCACTGGTCGATGGTTGGCGGCGGCGGCCGTTAGGGTCACCAGCTGGAATGCTCATCCCTCGTGTCTTGCGCTCGCTCGTTCAGACCGCATGATTGCTCACAGTTGGCTGCGGACACCGCCGCGCCGTCTTCCTCCGGCAAGCCAGGCGGCCAAATATGGCAAGGTTGTATCATTGTATCTGACCCTTTGCGTGCAAGCGCTTTTATCTCCTGATATCTGTGGTGTCTGTGCTATTGGCTGTGTCGTTTAGCACGTGTGGCTTACCATGGGCTCCCCTTTTGGACGCCAGGGACCTATTTATCGTTATTTCCCGTGTGCCGGAGTCCGTGACCGCGGTGGCAATGTCCAGAAGGTGGGCGATAAATGTCATGAGACGCACGCCGAGATCAGCCGAAATGTCAGCGGGGGCCGCCGCCGCCCGGCCGGCGCGGACGGCGCGCTCCCGTGCGCTGGCGCCGGGCGCCGGCCGGGCGCAGCGGACGCAGCGGACGTACGCGCGATCGCCGCTGGCCTGATGCTCCCGCCGGCGTCGGCGTCCGAGCCGCAGCTGCCGCGCGCACGTCGGCTGCGCAGATGTCGACGGTTGGCCGGCCGGCGCGCCGCCCCACTGCCTATTCACGGACCGGGGGCAAAAAGCCAATCCCCTTGGCGCTGAGTCGGATCCTTCCCAGAGCTGGAAATCCAAGCCCGTTGCAGTGTGATGCAATCCTATTAGCCGTTCGCCGCTTAAGCCGAATGGCAGCGTGCGGCCCGGTCCCCCGTTTGGAAGCGCGCCGATGACGCGTGTCGTCCGGATCAAGCGCCAACACCTGACAGGGGGCCTTGCGCGCGCGGTCAGTATCCTGTTCGGATCAACAGGCCCATCGCGGGGGCCAGCCGTCGACACGGGGTCGTCGTCGGCCGGTCAGGCCGTCGCTGTAATAGGCTCATGCGAAATGCATGACGCCATTGCCCGTCTCCGGCGCGGGCGGAGTGGCGACCGCCCGCCGTTGGGACTGTTGTGGCTGCGCTGGCTAGTTGTGTCGTCACTGGGGGGTGGGGGGGAGGGGGGGGGGGGGCTGTGTGACGGTCCGGGCCGGCTGGTCGTCGGCGGGACGCCGGGCTCGGCGAGCTGCATCCGCCAAAGGTCATGTGCAAATGTCGCCGGGCGCAGATGGGCGCGGCGGTGTTGAGCGTGTGCGCCGCTCCGGCAGGTACCGCCTGTCGGCCAAAGTGACAGGTGATGGTGGTGTTGGGCGGATGGTGGGTGCACGGCAGCGCCCCTGTCAGCCTCTGTCGCCGACGGCGGGTGTCTGTGGGACCCCGCGGCAACGCCTCTGTCGCCAACGGCGGCGGGTGTCTGTGAGACCCCACGGCAGCGCCTCTGTCGCCGACGACGGTGTCTGTGGGACCCCACGACAGCGCCTCTGTCGCCGACCGGCGGGTGTCTGTGGGACCCCACGGCAGCGCCTCTCGCCGACGGCGGGTGTCTGTGGGACCCCACGGCAGCGCCTCTGTCGCCGACGGCGGTTGTCTGTGGACCCCACGGCAGCGCCCTCTGTCGCCGACGGCGGCGGGTGTCTGTGGGACTCCAGTGCCAGCTTGCTCACCAGACGACTTCCACCGGTCTGACTGTGGATGGAATGGGCCTTCTTTTGCGGCCTGGATTGATGGGTATGGGAATGGAGACCAGGCGCTGATGTCTGTCCAACTGCGGCTGCTTCGCCTCATGTCGCCAACTCAGCTGGCGCTTGTCTCGGGTGTGAGCCTAGCCCAGTCATGGGCAGAGCTTCGATATGTAAGTGGAGTGCAACTTCAGCCCCAACATTGCTGAATATTAATGCCAGGTATGTGGCGTTGCATTGGAAGAATGGACTCAAAACACATCATCCCGGCTTGTGTTGAAGTTTCGCTCATGCTTCCTTTGCAGTTATTACCGCGTGATAGCACCGCTGATGCAGGCTTTCTTGGCGTCTGCTTTTCCCCGGGGAAGAACCGTTCACTCCCCCGGGCAAGAAGCGTTCACGACGCGCTCTCGCGCTCTTGACCGTGTCGTTTGCGCTTCTCACCGACGCCCTGACGGCGATGGTCGCCCAGTGATGTTTCAATCTGTCGCCACCGAGTTCGATGCCATCGACGGCGTCGAGCGCGGCAGATCGGCCCGCGCGCCTGCCGTGTTCTCAGCGTATCGCTTTCAGCTGCAGTGGTTTTGACAGCCGGTCTCAAGTGCGTAAGCTCCTTCCAGGACAGAGCCGCGCGCGGCGCGCCGCAGCGGACGTGTTTGCCAGCGGGTGACGCTCCTCCGGGGACGGTCGGCCCACTCACGGGCCTCGGGGGGCGGCCACTTTCAGCTGAATGGCCGTGCACGAACGACGCTGTGCAGCTGCAGACGACTGGTGGGAGCCGGCCTCGGAGCATGAGAGATATGTGCTGGGCCGCTACTGGCTGCCGGCCATGCTTTTGGGACTTGGTCTGGCGCTCATGAGCAACATCGATGTTCGCAGTGGTGCGTAGGTGGAACTTGGGCCGATGGGGGTGGGGGTGGGGGGGGGGGGGGGAAGGCAACAGGAGCTCTTTTGAGTAGGTTGTCATCGGCTGGCCTACTTAGGCGGCATTGCGATTTCCCGCGTCTGTCTCAGGCAGACTGTCCCCATCGAAATCCGGCATTATCATCCGAGAAAGTCGTAAACATCTGGAGTGAGATCTGTTTGGATAACATTCAGCATTTGACTGATGCTCTGCCGTTCTTCAAAGGCCGGATAAACAAACAAGAACATCAAACTGCTGTAAACAACACGCTTGGGATTCCCCAATACTGTTTGAATAACCGGCTTTGAACGGTCCCGTAAGATCTATTTTCATGAAAATATTTTTTTGCGCCTGTCGTCCACCAGCTGATGTTTGGACATGGTATAATTATTACACATACTTAACATGCCAGAGGACTTCGTCCGATACAGCACATCCGTCGAGATGGTGACTGCGCGCGTTTCAGAACATGCCGTGCGACGCTTACACACGTGGGCTGTTCGGCTGTTGGCCAGTATGGGCGTCGCCTGCCGTCCAGACGCTGGCGCCGTGAGTGTGGCGCGCACGTGTCCGCGGTGCCGGCCTCTTGGCTGTCGCGCCGCCAGCCGCAGCACAGAAGAGGGGCGGCGCCTCGGTTCGTCCCCGCATCATGTGTTCACGGCCGGCAGGCGGCACCTCGGCTCGTCCCCTCCTCACGTATTCACGGCCGGCGGGCGGCGCCTCGGCTCGTCCCCTCATGTGTTCACGGCCGGCGGGCGGCGCCTCGGCTCGTCCCCTCCTCATGTGTTCACGGCCGGCGGGCGGCGCCTCGGCTCGTCCCCTCGTGTGTCCACGGCCGGCGGACGGCACCTCGGCTCGTACCCTCCTCATGTGTTCACGGCCGGCGGGCGGCACCTCGGCTCGTCCCCTCCTCATGTGCTCACGGCCGGCGGGCGGCACCTCGGCTCGTCCCCTCCTCATGTGTTCACGGCCGGCGGGCGGCGCCTCGGCTCGTCCCCTCCTCGTGTGTTCACGGCCGGCGGGCGGCGCCTCGGCTCGTCCCATCCTCGCGTGTCCACGGCCGGCGGGCGGCGCCTCGGCTCGTCCCCTCGTGTGTCCACGGCCGGCGGGCGGCGCCTCGTGCCGACACCCTGCTTGCGGCTGACCTCACCTAGCCTGGCTTACAGGGCGGGCCGGGCGCGGTACTACGCTCGGGTAGTCGGCGGGCCGCGACCTCCGCCGCCGCGCTCGAGGCTGGCGCCCCTCGGCATCCGGCCGCTGCCCCGGCTCGCACGGAGACGGCCCGGTGTGGCGCCCGTCTGGGCGGGCTCAGAGGCGTACAACGCTATATATGGCGTCGTGTCCCTGCGCCGCTGTTGGCTAGCGATGTGCGGCCAGTCTGAGTCCTGGGTTTCTATGTCGGACAATTGCTTGTCAGCCGGGTCTTCCCACCCCTGACATTGATCGCATGCTCGATGTGGTGTGCGGCCTTCAGCGAGTGCGACCGTTCTCGAGCGTGTCAAGTGGCCACGCAGTCACCACGCTCCTAAATATGCAACCGTCAGCGCATCAAGCGATGGCGACACCAGGCCGGGCCCCGGCCCCCTCAGGGGGGGACACCAGGCCGGGCAATCGGCTGCCTCAGGGGGGGGGGGGGGACAGGGGGGACACCAGGCCGGCTCGCCCCTCGGGGGGGGGACGCCTCGGCCCGGGGGGGGGGGACAGGGGCATCGGGGGGACACCAGGCCGGGCCCCGGCCCCCCTCAGGGGGGGGACACCAGGCCGGGCATCGGCCGCCTCGGGGGGGGGGGACACCAGGCGGGCATCGGCCCCCTCAGGGGGGGGGGAGATACCAGGCCGGGCATCGGCCGCCTCAGGGGGGGGGGGATATCAGGTCGGGCCGCATCGGTCGCCTCAGGGGGGGGGGGATACAGGCGGGCCGGGCCCGGCCCCTCAGGGGGGGGGGAAACCAGGTCGGGCATCGGCCGCCTCAGGGGGGGACCCAGGCCGGGCATCGGCCGGCTCAGGGGGGGGGGACACCAGGCCGGGCCCCGGCTCCCTCAGGGGGGGGGGGAGGACACCAGGCCGGGCATCGGCCGCCTCAGCGCGTCACCGCCGCCCCTCCGGCCACGTCAGCGAGGTCGGGGCCACCGGTGGCGGGGGACGTGAGCGGCTCGGCCCGCACCTGTTACTCCGCCGAGTCAGCAGGCCGGGCCGCCGGCGCCCGCCCGGCCTCCTCCGCCTCCCCCGGTGGGCCGGCTGGCACGCCGCCAGCGACGGCCTTCGTCGGCCGGCCGGCCGTGTGCGGGTCGGGTCGCTGGCCGTTGGTGGTCACTGGCTAGGCGGCTCATCCGACGCCGATCCGCACTCCACCGTGTCGTGCGCGCCGCGTGGGACGATGGCCTGTGTACCAAAGTGAGTTGGCTGGGCGAGGGCCGTAGTAAGACTGGGGGATCGCCGGGCGAGGGTCGTATAAGACTAGGGGGTTCCATGTGCCGCTGACTTGACCGTAACCCGTGTGTTACAGTGAGCCAGCTGAGAGAGGGCTGGGACCAGACAGAGGCGGCCGTGCACCGGCGACTCAGCCAGCTGGAGACAGCGCGGCTGGACTCGGCCGGCTGGGAGGCGGCGCGGGCTGAGCTGGCCGGCTGGCTGGGCCGGCTGGAGACGCGCGTCGATCAGCTGCCGCCTATGGGCCACACGGCCGACATGCTGGAGGCGCAGATCAAGGAGCAGAAGGTGAGTCCCGTCGCCAGCGATGACGCGAGCCCCGGCCGCAGCGTGGCAGACTTTGTATGACCATTAAACGCGTCACGCCTGGCGCCATGAGCAAACACGCTGGCGCTTACTGCATCAGTGGCGCGCCAAAGTCCGGGAGGTGGGAGGTTTGGGGATGTCATCACGTGGAGGATGAGGGGCCCTGAGCCTTTGAAGATGATGATCACCTGGCTGATGGCCCGTGTTGGAACACTATTTGGTAATGGACCGGGATATTTTGTGTTGGGATTACACTTGGCTGTACTCCCGGGGGTCTCGTTTTGTCGCAAGCATTTAAGCTGTTCTTGGATTATAGCTGCACTCATGGCACTGACGATAATTGAACTTGAACACATTTTCAGCAAGTATTGGTCAGGCCAGTGTTCTCTAGACCCAGTTTGCCACCATTGGCACCGCTGGCGTATCGGCCCTGTAATCGGGATGTAGCGTGCACTTCAGAAGAAGCTACCTTGATTCCCCTACTTCGGCGCCTTATTGCAAGACCGCGAGACGTCCGAGCAGTACTTCGTCTGAGCTATCATCATTGTTCAACTTGGATTGCCTGTGGCATGTTATCGGCGAACTTTCCGCGCGGGCGTTTGCCGCCGTAATTAGTCGGACGGCAGTGTGAGGAGCGGCGGCGCGCCGGAGCGGTGGGCGCTGCACTCGGACGCCGGGCGCCGACGCCGTCCGCCGCTGCATTTTTAACGAACGGCTCCGCTGGCCGAGCGCGAAAACAATTGGCCGCCGGGTGGACAGCTGTTGACTGGCCCGGGGGCTGGGCTGGCTGGGCTGGGCCGAAGCGGCGGGACCGGGGCCCACGTCGGCGGGTGGGGTGGGGGGTGGGGGAGGTGCACCGCAGTCTGGCGCTGTCGGCTTGGCCCGGCGTGGCTCGGGCGGCCTGACGGACGCCCTGACGGCACCGACATTGCGGTGTGGACGAGACGAGTCAGCTGGGCGGACCGGGCCACCGCCAGAAGTCAGCCACGCACAGCTGCTGGTGGCAGTGCGCCACGCACACCGACGAAGGCGAGCAGTTCACTCCAGCTCTCCCCGCTGCGTGACGATAGTATCCGGCTGCGATCTCCACGGCTACTAGTTACCCTGCAACCTCACCTGGGTACTAGTTGGCCTGAACACTCGCTAATCGATGTCCAGCATCGGCCGGCAGCCAGACGCGTCCGTCCGTCCTAGCTGCTGCGCCGACGGGGGGCGCCGGAAGAGGGCGGCGCGGGCCGCGTCTGGCACGTCGGCCGGCTCGTCCCGTATGTGAGCGGCGTGCTCGACGGCGCTTCAGCGCGCCGAGATAGCGACGCCGCCCGGGTCGATGAGCAGCGCCGCGCCGGCCGTGACGGAGGAGCCGAGCGGCCGGCTCCCGCAGGCCGACCGGACCGGACCGAGCCGAACCGAGCCGAGCCGAGCCGAGCCGAGCCGAGCCGAGCCGAGCCGAGCCGAGCCGAGCCGAGCCGAGCCGAGCCGAGCCGAGCCGAGCCGAGCCGAGCCGAGCCGAGCCGAGCCGAGCCGAGCCGAGCCGAGCCGAGCCGAGTCGGCTAGCCGCTGGCGGCGGCGGCGGCGGCGGCGGCCGAGCTCCCCGAGCTCCCTGCGCGCCTATTGATCTTCGCCAGGGGCCGATTGATCAAATGCCTGGTGCGCGCGACAGCCGACCGGTCGAGGTGCGATCGCCGCCGCCGCCGCCCCGGCCCGTATCCGGCGAGATCGGAGCACGTACCACCCGAGCGACGAACCAGCGCGGGCGCCGTCAGCGGCGCTTAGGATGGGCGCCAGGCGGTGTCCTCTGGCCTGGCCTTGCAGTCGGTACCGGTCGGTTGTGGCCTATGGGTTGGGCCCTCGACCCAGGAGTCGAGGTTGACGCGGCGTGTTGTGTTCTGGGCTCCTGGACGGAGTCAGGGCTGGGACCGACCCGGCCCGTTATCTTCTGGACGCTGGAGCGATCCCTGAGCGGAGGCGGCCACCAGGGTGGCGTCTGGACTGATCACGGACGGCCGCTGACTCGCGGATGTGGTCGCCGGGCTCTGGACTCGCGCCGCAGCGGAGACTGACGCCAGAGGCCAGTCGCCGGCCGCGGGGGACGGCTTCAGGTCGGGGCCGTGTGCGGCGCGTGTCCGGTGAGCGGACACCACCCACCACGGACCCGGGCCGGGCGGTACGGGTCGTTCAGCCTGCTGGAGGCGGCTGCGCCCGCCCGTGGCGTCAGCCGGGCCGCTCTTTGCCACCGCCGGAGCCGGAGCGCGGCGTCGCCGCCGCTCGCGGGCCGCTGAAGTGAGACGCACGCGGCATGCACAGGTGCACGGGCGGAGGCGGTGACGCCGCGCGGGGTCGGACGCGCCGGCCTCGTCGGCAGCCGTCAGGCGGGTAATGCGATTGGACGCGCCGACGCCGTGGGCGTCCCAGCCCCGCCGCCGTGGCAGCCGCGGGAGCCGCGATTTATGTGCGACGCCTGCCGTCACGGACGGCTGTTTAAGGCCTGGAAGTGTCCGTAACTCTGATCCATACGGCCCGCGTGCTCTCCCGAGCCCCCTAAAAACTGGGGCGGTGTATCGACTCGTGTCCGATTGCTCCCGCGGCTCGCAGTTGCGTCCAATGTGGCTGAAACATGCGGCTGGTTGTTGAACGTGGTTCATGCGTGCGTACGCTCAGTATATGGGCACGTGATAGGCCACTAGTCATGGGCGGGTCGCCAGGTACTGGCCTATGGGATATGTTGAGTTGTGGTACTGGCTTATTAATGTTGGGATACACCGTCTTCCTGGGATATTGACCGGCTTCCATTTTCGGCAAGCACGGGGGCGTCTGTTCGGATGGTCTTCATTACGGTGGGACTGATGAGTATGCGTAGGTCTTCTCGACCGACGGCGGCTCACAGTGGGCCCGAGTCATTAGAGCGCAACTTGGCGGACGAAGTGTGCTACTGTTCCGAGATGGGCTGGTTAGTCTGCTTTGAAGGCTGATCAGTCTCTGTCGGGCTGCCTAGCTTGATTACTCCGTCTTTGCGTGGGGTGCTGGTTGGCATGACTCTTCCTCCTTGGTAGTTGCGTTGTGGTCGTTCGGGGTGGCTTCGCACCGTGCGTGAGCGGCCGAGGTACCATCCTGCGCTCGGTGGGCCTGTTACGTCTGCGGGGTGGACGAGGCCGCCGTCGCCTGACCGCCGTGCCAGCGGCCCACCCGGCCGCCGCCCACCGGCGGTGCCCGCCGCCCTCGCTCGCTGGCCGGTCTGTGGCCGTCCTGGCCGGAGCCAGGGGGGGGGGGGGGGGCGCGAGCGAGGCGCACGGGGTCCGCCCGGTGCCTGGACCGGACCGTCTCCGCGCCGGTCGAGTCCGGTCAGGTCCAGCCCGAGCCAGCCCGACCCAGCCGCCCCGCCGCGCTCGGCGCCATGCAAGTGAGGCTGCGGCCCGGGCCGTCGCCTGGCTCAGAGGCTGGTCGGCAGCGGCGGTGAGCTCCGATGAGCGGCCCGCCGGATCTGCCAGCGGGCCGTGACCGCCAGTGTGCTCTGGTACGGCGGTGTCGCTGTCCGACCGCCCGCCGCTCCAGGCGTGGACCAGGCCCCGCTGATCATACAGCAGTGGCGAGGCCGCGTCCGATTCAACATCTGCACGGCCTGCCTACCTCGGTGCTCTGATTGCTCGCCTATTTTGAGGCATATGATGTGAGCACGAAAGTTGCAAACTCACCATCATCTACATGATGTGTTCATGTTGAAAGTAGCTTAAGCGGGAGCCCATGCAAGTCGCCACGATGTGGTGCTTGCATGAGAAGCGTCGCCGTTCGGCCGTCTTCGGAGACAGCGCCCTCACGCGGATGGCGACGGCCGGCGCCAGCCCACTCAGCGCCGGTATTGCCTGCGCCCGTTGTCAAGACCGGCGCCAAGTTGGTCCATTTGGCGGGTGCGCACCGCCGCTGTCTAATGTCATGCATTCCGCGGGCGGTAATATGGCCGGCCGCGGGCGGCGAGCGTCGCTGGCCGCTGACTGGGCGGCGCGGCCCGCGGCGGCGGCCACTGTCGTCACGTGCGCCGTGCGCCGACCATCTGTCGCCACGCAGAGGGCCTGGTTAGGGCCTCGGGGCCTCCGAGGTCGCCGGGGTCGTGGAGTGTCGCCGCCCAGGCCGCTGTAACGCCGGTTTCTGCTGTGCGCTGGTTGTGTTGTGGTCCCAGCCGGCTGCTGGGGTCCCAGGTGCTGTGTTTCATCCGTGTAATATGCGAAATCTGGGATGATGTGGGGTATGATGATAATGATGTGGAGTGTATTTATTCCTTGCTTTATAGAAGCGGCTGTGGAACATTAGGTTGCAGGTCTGGAGCAGGAAGTCTAGTGGATTTAAATAAAGCCGGGGCACTCGAGGAGCGGAATGGCGCGAATGGTGCGGTGCAGGTTACACAAGTCTCGAAAGCGGCTGAGAGCAGCTCATCACATGCTCTCAGAAGTTAAAAAGCGCGCTCCAGCAGTGCTACTTCCTTTGGGGGGGGGGGGGGGGCAAGGGGGAAGTTGGGGTTGATGACACATCGCGTCGCTAAAGGCTGGCCGGAAGAGATAACGGTGATTTGTGTTAAAAGTTGTTGGGCTTCTTGGGCAATTTTGCGCCTGGTCGTAAGGAAACTTGCGCGTGTAACGGCATTTCGATGGACAGTGATTGCACTGGACCGCGTTCAGGTAGCTGTATGCCTTTGGTGGTCAGTTTGGATGCCTATTATTTATTGTTCAATTCAAGTTTAGTTTTCATCTGGCTGTTCAAAAGAAAACCAGTCCATTACCATTTTGTTGTATTTGAGCCATTAAGTTTGCTGTAGCGTATGCCTGTAATCAGGGTCTTGTTCGGTTCATCTTTCATGCACATTGACAGGCGGTGGTCACCCTGGTGTTTGGCACTGGCCGGTCCCGCACAGTCGCGCAGCAGCTGCCTGCGCGCCGTCACTGAGCGCCGCGCTCCCGTCCCCAGGCGCTGCACCTGGAGGTGCACCAGTACAAGCAGCGCATGGAGGCATTCAGCCAGCTGACGCAGCAGCTGATCGCCAGCTGCCAGCGCGAGGACACGCGCCACATCAAGCGGACCATGGAGCAGGTCAACCAGCGCTACAGCAGCTTGAACGCCAGGTGAGGGTGTGAAGCTGGGAGGGGGCGAGGCGCCGCTACAGGGGTCAGAACGCCAGGTGAGAGGGTGTGAAACTGGGAGGGGACGGGGCGCCGCTACAGGGGTCTGAACGCCAGGTGAGAGGGTGTGAAGCTGGGAGGGGACGGGGCGCCGCTACAGGGGTCTGAACGCCAGGTGAGAGGGTGTGAAGCTGGGAGGGGACGGGGCGCCGCTACAGGGGTCTGAACGCCAGGTGAGAGGGTGTGAAGCTGGGAGGGGGCGAGGCGCCGCTACAGGGGTCTGAACGCCAGGTGAGAGGGTGTGAAGCTGGAAGGGGACGGGGCGCCGCTACAGGGGTCTGAACGCCAGGTGAGAGGGTGTGAAGCTGGGAGGGGGCGAGGCGCCGCTACAGGGGTCTGAACGCCGGGTGAGAGGGTGTGAAGCTGGGAGGGGACGGGGCGCCGCTACAGGGGTCTGAACGCCAGGTGAGAGGGTGTGAAGCTGGGAGGGGACGGGGCGCCGCTACAGGGGTCTGAACGCCAGGTGGGAGGGTGTGAAGCTGGGAGGGGACGGGGCGCCGTTACGGCAGCCTGAACGCCAGGTGAGAGGGTGTGACGTTGGGAGGGGACGGAACGCCGCCACAGGGGCCTGCTGTGTGTCGGGCTGAGTCGGGGCAGGGCCGGCCCTGTTCTCGTAGCGGCGGTACGGGCCGCAAGAGGCCGAGCGTATCTTGTGGGCGTGTTTTCGCAGCAGATCACAGCGGAATGATCCGACAGCTGACATACCACGCGCTGACTCACATGTTCTTTCATCAGCAGCGGCCGCGCTCACGTTCGGCACGTTTCGGTTGGCTTGGTAAACATTCTGCAACCCGGTCTGCCTGTGTGTGGCCCCAGGCGGTTGCCCTGTACTTTGCTATTCGCGCCAAGGATTCACTTTTGCCCCAAGCTGTCCTTCAACGGCACGCGCACTGCTGCCTGCTCCATCATGTGTCCGACGTACCCGTCACTCATCGCACTGCAGCGCGAGCACCGTCCCACCGCGTGTCCGACGCACACGTCACCCACCGGACTCCGACGGGAGCACCGTCCCACCGCGTACCCAGCGTACCCCTCACCTCACCCACCCATGGAACTGCAGCGCGAGCACCGTCCCACCGCGTGTCCGACGTACCCGTCACCCACCCACCGTACTGCGGCGCGAACCTGTTGAAACCGCGCTATGACTGCAGAATCGTGTAACCCTATGGCAGCTTCGATCTACCCATTTACCTTGCCTTACCCACGACTCGAGCAGACCAGCTCCCCATCAGGCCCGCGTCAGCTATAATTAGCGAATTACAATACATCTGCCAAACAGGATCTCTTGCGACAATGCATGTTTGTGACAAGCGTGACACCAGCATGCTTTCGTCTGAGGCAGGCACTGAAGAATGCTTCCGGCCGCCTCCCGCACCAAATGATGAGGTGCATTCACGCCTTTGGGTACAAGACACACACGGGCGGAAGTCTGCCGACCGGGCCCCCGGAGAGGAAAAGCTATTCACATCGTGGCGAAATGAAGTCATTCAGTTTCATATTGGATTTAGAGAAATTGCGCATTTTGTGGTACGCGATTTAGAGCGGATGATGCGACCTGGGCGGGCTGCAGGATGACACCACTTTCACTATGCAATCTGTTATCGTTTGGGGCCAGAGTGACTTATGTGGGAACGGGTCTCAAGATGACAGATGCGAGTTATGCATTTCGTCGCTGGGGAGACTGAAACATGAAATATGAGAAAAGGGGCTTAGGTCGTGAAGCGTGCAAGCCACAGTATTTTGGTCATTTCACGAAGGCGGACACATTTACCACGACGGCGCTCTTTACAAAGAATCCCTTAAATTGGGCGACATTGGCAGCCTTACGCTTCTAGTGGCGTGGTTAGCTAGGCGAGGCAGGTGACGCCGGCCGCGAACCTCGGTCGGTCACCGCTCAGTAAGACAGGTGACGCACGTGCCGCGGGCCTCGGTCGGTCACCGCTGGGGCCATAACATTACACAGGTGTGGCGTCCGAGACGCGACACGGTTAGGTTGTTCTCGTTGTCTTCTTTCGGTTGCCATGCCTTGCTGTGGATGGCATGTTTGATTGCATCTCCCAGCTGGCAGTATGCAACGCACTGAGGTGGTGCCGACTGTCTGAGTCAACGCCAGTATCTCTCCCAAGTTCGCATTGTACTCCAGCTATCCCGTATCCTTGAACTTCATCCACGGGGAGTATGCGTTTTCAGCGAATCCTTGACGCCCCAAAGTTGTCTCTGACGACGCCTGGTCCTCGTGTGGGTGGGTGCCCTTAACCGCACGTGGCCGCGTACCGGACGGCGGAGGCGGCACGGCGCAGCCTGCGATCATACCCCTCCGATGAGAGCCGGGTGGCATGTGCCGGGGTCACTGGCCGGGCGGACGGCCCGGCAGTGGGCGCGCCATATTGACCCCGGTCGGCTGCCGCCTCCCTCCCCTTCTCCTGTCAGCTGCGATAGATGGCGCGCCAGCGACCTGGCTGAGCTGGCAATAACGGCCCGGCCGTTACAGTTCCATTCAATGGCGACTACTTCTCGTCGGGATAAATCATCTCTTGTGCCATCACAACTCGAGTAATATGGTTTCTCCGCCGTGTAGTCGGTGATTTGTGAAGGTTTGTGCCGTGGTGGCCATCTACCGGTGGGAAAGGGAAACTATGTTTGGCCGCTCGTCCTCCAGGCATTGTCTGGAGGCGGGTTGGAATTGGAGGCGCGTGGTGGGAGCGACGATGCCACGTTTACATGTGGTGTGGGACTCCGTCTTGAGACGACCGGATTCACAATGACTTTCAGTCAAGGCGAATGACATTGCTCAATGTTGTTAAAGTGGCGTTAGTTATTGCTCGCAGTTTCATTTAACATGTGCGGAATGTTTTAAGATGTATCGGAAGGTCGTGCTGGCATATTCATGATTCGTTGCACAGTGCTTCAATTTAGTAAGCAATGTTTTAGACACCGTATCGAGGGAAGGAAACTGAAAAAATCTGGCCTGGTGGCTGAAAACCCTCTAAAAGCTTAAATGTTCCTAAGATATGTTCCCAAACATAAGTGGTTGACACCTCCATTTGGCAGTAAAGACCCTGCTGGTAAACTTATGCGTACTTTTGCCGAGCGGGGTGGATGCACGCGGGGTCATGCGCACCGTATGCCATCACATGAAGTTAAAAGTCCGAAGTTTAGCAATGGTCGCCTGGTCGACAGGTACGACAGGGTGATTGGGGCGCGATGATGTCATGACCTCCGTCGTCCGGCTGAGGGGGTATTTGATTGGGGATCGACTCCTGGGCACCGACCTCTCACCCGTTCTGTGATCACGCACCACGGGAACGCCGACACGTGTTGCCGCTCAGGCCTCTGGGGGCGCCGGCACGTGGTGCCGCTCAGGCTCTCAGGAGCGCCGGCACGTGGTGCTGCTCAGGCCCCCGGGAACACTCAGATGTGACAGCGAGCCTCCTCTCAGACTGCAAAAATATCATTGGGTCTCCGGAGTTCTTCTCTAGACAGGCACTTTCTTGTGCAGTCAAGGGGCCGGATCGCTAGGCATCAGTACAGGGTTCGAAGCCCGGAATAGTTGTAACCGCAGCGACACTTAACGATTTTAACACGTTTTTAGACGGGTGCCCTGTCGAAGCCAAGTTGTTGTCTCGTCTCTTTGTGAACTCCTGATCACAATCATATGGTAACTGTCGGTACTGACCGTGGCGGCGCTATCACCCGCCGAAATCCTTTTTTATGAGCTTAGACCAGCGGTATCTGAGCGATTTTTTTTTTACTCCTTACAGCTTTCGAGACCCTCCCAGGATGCGAGGGTCTCTGTAGTGCTAGGAAGCCCCGTCTTCAAATCGGGGCTCTCTTCACAGCTCTGAGTCCCCGTCGGTTAGACCCCAGGGCTCCTCGCTCGTGCTTGAGGAGCTCGTCTGAGATGGCGGAGCGTGCTCAGTCCACGAGCTGCTCGCTTCAAAGAGCGGACTTAGAGTCCAGCGCAGACCTAGATTCTTAGGCTCGAGCAGAGGTACCACGGTCTCATAGGTTAAGCGAAGGTCGTATAAGTCTCAAGGGGCCGTTAGGTTTCAGTGGCTCACTTGTTTTATTGTCACTGTCCTGCTTGTATTCCACATGGCCGTCTCTGTAATGGCTCTCAGGGCACTCCACATTGTCGGATACGGCGTAACGTCATACACGGCTCTTGAGCGCGAGGTGTCTCGGCACAGCCAGCTGTGTTAGCACCTTTTTGCTTACCCATCGAATAGATCTGCTCTTAAAGCAGGTTTTGGTGTTCCGACAACGGTTTGCCACGTTACTGACTGACTTGACTTGACCAAATACCATGATAAGAAGGAAGCAAAAGCTATTGATCAACGACTGCCACTTTGGAAAAATTTATGCGACGTTTGCACTGCCTGTGCCATAATTGGATTTGTTCGTCCTTGGATGAGAGGAATCTGCATAACCAACCTTCCGTAAATAATGATTTCATTATGTAATCGCTCTAAGTTATTCACGATGCCATCCAATGGTTGTGGGCTAAATCGTTCTCGCTCCTGTGTTCCAGAAGGCTACCGCCGGGTTTGTCAGCAGTCTTATTCAGTATCTGCCGCGGAGTTTCTCAGCAGTCGTGCTCAATATCTGCTGCGGCATTTCTCAACAGTCTTGTTCCATGTCTGCAGCTGGGTTTCGCGGCAGTCTTGTTCCATATCTGCAGCTGGATTTCGCGGCAGTCTTGTTCCATATCTGCAGCTGGGTTTCTCAGCAGTCTTATTTCATGTCTGCTGCTGGCTTCTCAGCATCTTGTTCCATATCGGGACACTGATTGCAAAATGCCGAAGGCAAAAGTGAAAGAAAGTCTTCCGAAGTCTATATTAACATTCACATTTTGGCTAGCCGCGGTTACATATCATTTAGGGTTGTTTCACACTAGCTTTTATCTTAAGGGCGCTAAACAAACTATTTTGCACCGACAGCTTGGTCGCAGGAATGATTTGCTCCCACCCCGCTGGGATTGGGGTTCTCCATCAGCAGAGCTTGTTGTAGGAGCACTGACCCCGTCACACAAGGGACCCGAAGCTGGACAATTTTGACTCGGCCTAATAACCAAAAGGAGCCGGCTCTTTTTTTGGCGTGTCATACAACGCCATGACATAACCACCCACGGTTTTCCTCATTGTCTGGCGAATGAGCGGGAAACGCCAGGCGCCTTGAGTGGAATCCAAATCCCCGTGTAGATGGATCATGACCGCACTGCGTTTGTCGCGCTCAGAGAGACCAGACTGACGTCTTAACTACTGCGCCATCGCTCAGAGAGACGTCAGACTGACGTCTTGACTACTGCGCCACCGGGACGACAAAACTCAACGGTGCCAGGAATCGGTATTGGTGTTGTTTAACCAGTGGTACCGGTGGTACGGTGTGGTGCATTTCTGAAATGCCTGGGTTTTTTCGATACGCTGGCGCTGTGTGCGAAATGGAAAGCGCTGGTTGCGCCTGTAGCTCCGAGCCGTTTCGTTGTCTTCGCCGAGCAACAAAATGGCAGCGCATGGTTTCAAATAGCCGGTCCCATGAGGCGCTGGGCTGTATGGTACGAGTAGATGAGATAATCATGCTGGTGCCTTAACCGGCGTGCGTGCTTCGGCCCTGTTTGTGACGGTTCGGCGGCCTGGTTGCGAGCGACACCGCAGGACCAGTGAGACTTGTGACGTCAGCTAACCGCACGGTCTGCGGCTTTGTCATCCGGGCCCGCCCTGGGCAGCCACGCGTTGGACTGGCTTACGTCTCTCTAACCAGTGGCCGTACCGGTATGCGGTTTTTTAAGCAACGAAGACAATTCCTTTCAAGCGGTGCCTCTGAAGTTATTGTGCGCGCAAACTCCGCTGAGGCGTGCTTCTCCTGCAGCAGTACGGCATTACATTATAACTGTACAGCCCATTGGACGGTACGTCAACGGCCCGGCGTCGCAGAGGCACGAGGAACGAATACTTTTTAGCGGAGGATGGAACGGACGAGCGTATTGGCTGAAGTGTGGATCGGTACATTATATATATATATATATATATATATATATATATATATATATATATATATATATATATATATATATAGCCGGTCGACCGCTTTCAAACGCAGGCGGTGGATCCATCCGCTCTGTGATGTTTGTGATGTTGTGTATGTGTGTCAGATCTTTTTCAAACCATGGTGAGGAGGAATGAACCGCACACATCGCTGGCGATTGAAACACTCACTGCCCATGGGTGCGCCAAGGATGTATGGGCAAGTGGTCAATCCCGCCACTTAATAACGAAGCCCAAGTGCAGCATGCTTTGGCGAAAACTGAGAAAGCTGGGCCACGCAAACTGCGTTGTGGTGCGGCACAAGTCATGGTAACAAATGTCTAGCCAAATAGACATTGTTTCCTGAGAAATTTGGTCGCTGTCATGCAAAACTTAATTATTTCAGATTCCTCAAGTTTTTTATGGAAATTACCAACGGTTCACTAGGCCAGAAGGTAGCCATTGCTCACACAATGCAAGTTGGGCAATTCAGACGCATAAAACCTATTCGTGCAGCTCGTAAAGGCGACGTGGCCTACTATCGTATTGCTTGCGCCTTAGCAATACCCACGTCTGTTAGCACGCCTTTCATCTCACGGTGCAGGAGGCGTCCTACAGGCAGTGATGAGCAGTAACAACTCGTGTTATAAGTAAATAGTGTCAGATTCCACCGTGTTTGCGCCAGCCTGGTCTCGATGCGGCGTCGTGGGGCTAGGTAACGCCCCCGTCATGTGCCCCGAGGCTCGCTAGTAACCTGGACATAAGGCCACGGGGATCAACGGCGGCGAAGGGTCAAGTGGGCGCGCGCGGTCCCCGCAAGAACTGGCTGCATGACCAACATAGACTTTAGACAAATATTGCCCGATGACCGACACTCATCCCTTCTCTCCAGCTGCAATGCCGAGACACGTCCTTTGACAAGTCACACATGGTGGCGTGTGATGGTAGCATTAGTGCCTCCACGTGGTGACGCTGTTGTGCGGGACTTTCACAGCAGCCCGTCCCGTCTGTTCGCAGCATTATCGCGCGCGGCAAGAGCCTCCACTCGGCCGTGTCGTCGCTCTCCAACTTTGACCAGGCGCTGGAGCGCTTCTCGGCCTGGATGTCGGAGACCGAGTCTCAGCTGGAGTACATCGACGGCGAGGTGGACCGGCTCGGTGCCAGGCAGGACGCCCAGGCGCTCAAGACGCCCTGCAACCAGCTGAAGGTCAGTCGTCGGCTTGGCGCGGCGCCGGCGGGGGTTTGCAGGCGGACCCGAGCGGCGTGTGAGGCCGGTTGTTCGCCCGATGGCCGTGTGATGTCGCCACTAGTCTTCAGCGCGTGGCGAGGTGGCGCTGCCGTCACTTGCCCGCCGACGGCGACCGAAGACGATGACGCCTGGTCTCGCTGTCTCCTGGACCCAGTCGCCGAGATTAGAGGTGATTTCGACCGCGGTCCGGTCGAATCCAATTCTGCTGTCTGTCGCCTCTGCCGGCTACTTACGATAAGCCGACGGCCGTAAAAGCGCGGAGGACGACGGCCAAATGCGTCCCGCGGGGGGCCGCCGCCGGCCGAGACGAGCCCGGGACGGCCGGCGGCTGGTGCGGCTCGTAAGCCGGGTCGGCGCTGCTGACGCGGCGGCGGCGACTGGGAGGTCCCGGCCGGCCGGTCAGCCTCCCTGGAGCCGTCTCCGGTGACCTACTGCTGACGGCCGGGGCGCCAGAACGCCGCTCGGCGCCACACGCCGGCCGGGCTCTATGAATACTGCAGGCAGCGTCGAAGCGGCGCTTGTAGATCCCGGATGCGCACAAAACTTAAGACCAGCGCTTGCCGTATCGTGATGACTCGCGACCATGTATCATTGCCGCCATCCACGTGCGTCGGGATTGCGCTATTCCAGTTGCGGGCCGCGTGCAATTGATCGATATGCAATGCCGAGTTGTCGGTGAGCGTGCCGGCGCTTAAAAATATCGGAAAGCCAAGCTCTGGCTGAAAATATGCAGCTGACTTCAGCTCCACCTATACCTGATGATGGCGTTATAAATACCGTCGCTCGTGCAGACCTGACTGGCCTCAAAGTCGGCCTCAGACGTGCGACGTGCGCATCGCGAGCCGAAGGCTGATGCTGCGGGGGCACAGCGCGTGCCGTTTGCCGGTGCGCGTGATCGACGACGGCGATGTGCGGCGCCGCGGCGGCGGCCGCCGGCAGGATTGCGACATCTTAACACGCGGGTGCCTTCAAAACCAATCACAGGGCCGCACCGGAATCGTGTAAGCAGAAACGTCGCGGCGAAGTGAATCCCGGGCGGCCGGGCGTGCCCTCATTATGCATCCCCATCAGCTAGCCGCGAATTAGCATGCGGGATGACTCTGATTGGCAAATGGGCGGCCGGCGCCCGGTGGTCTCCCGTTCCAGGAGCCGGTGGTCGGGGGCGGTGTGGGTGGCGCTGGCGCCGCCGCCGCCGCCTCGCCTCGCGTCGCGTCGCGTCGCTGCCGACCCGTCGCCGACCTCGACCGCCGCCTTCTGGCCACGCCGTGTGCGTGTAATGACAGACAAGGCGGCGCCAAGCGGCCGCCGGCCGCAATCGATATTGCGTGTGCCCGACGCATCCGCGGCCGGGGCGTGCGGCACACGGCGATGGGTGCGAAGCTCGCGGTGAGGGCCGGGGAGCGCCGGCCAGCGACGGTTGGTGCGGAGCTGGCGGTGAGGGCCGGGGCGCGCGGCACACGGCCGTGGGTGCGAAACTCGCGGTGAGGGCCGGGGCGCGTCGGCCAGCGACGGTTGGTGCGGAGCTGGCGGTGAGGGCCGGGGATTGCCGGCCAGCGGCGGTTGGTGCGGAGCTGGCGGCGACGGCCGGGGCGCGTCGGCCAGCGGCGGCGGACGCGGCCGGAGACTGAGACCTCCCTGAGGACGGCTGTCGCCAGCGGCCGAGGCGCAGGCGGCGCCGGCCGGAGTGACGAGGTGGCCGCCGTCCCCGCGGCCGTGCTGAAGTTGGCCGCCGGTGACGGGCGGCGCGCCGTCTCCGCCGGCCGGCCGGCTCCTCCAGATATCACGGCCGGCTCTAATCAGTTTAAAAGGCCGGTTGGAGTTGATTAATCCGGCTGCGTTCGCGTATATGTCAGGGGGGATAAATGGCGGCGGGACCCGGCGGCGGCCGCCGCCGCTGGCTCAATGGCCCGGAGAGGCGGCGGCGCCAGCGGCGGAGAGAGGCCGATCCGACTGCGGGCCGGCCGCGCTTCTCGACGGCCGGCCGGCCCAGTCGGGAGCCCCGCCTGGGCCGCAAACGAAACTATCGTGTCGGCTCGCGTCACTATGGCAACAGCAGCGGGGAACTGAAGATCGGGGAAATGGAATGGAGCGCCAGGAATCGGACGTGAATTAATCATATGCGCTTGCGTCAAGTAACCTCCGCGGAATTTGGACAGCGGGAAATGTAGAGTTCACGGTTTACATTTTGACGCGTGAATAACAAGCGACGAAAAGTGATGTGTGCTGGGACATGCAATGAGCTTAGCCTTTTTGAAGTGAAGCAACCTACTACCTTTTTCAAAATAATGCAGTATAATGCACTGGGTTATGGTGAGTAGCTTTTGACTGATTGTTGGGCTTTTGGGACGCCTGGACTGCCAGGGCCGTGCAGTGCAACAGATGGGCAACTTTCAGTAGCAGCGGATAATGCTAGAACAGCGAGGCCAAATACTGGGACGCATGTCGATGGCGGCAAGATGCGGGACACTCTCAGTGCCCCTTCATCCTGGTTTCATTCATATCACGGCCTGGCCACAGATTAGCTGAAGACATGCCTTCAATGAAATTAGCCATTCTGACTGTGATCAGTCATTTTAAAAGTAAGGTTTTTAGAAGTGTCCGTACGATGTGAACATAAGTTAGTTCTTTGTAGTATGATTTATTATAATTGTGTCGGTCTCCCAACGATCATGACAAATAGAGCACGCTTAGCTAGGATAATTTTGGAATCGGCTGTTGCTATGTGACGTATCATATGCAACATTTGGCGTTTTATTCCCTTGGTCATGTTAACACTGCGGTTTCGATACCTGGGCTTTTGTGCAATCTTCCACATTTTGGTAACTTTGCGTATTTTGAGTGGTGCAAGCCGTCCCAAGTCCACAAGCTGGCCGCCGAGTCCGGCGTGCAGAGCCAGCGGCACTGGGAACGAACGTGCCGGGATACGGCGGGCTCGGCACTCACCAACCGGAGGAGCCGGCGTCGGACGTCGGCGGGCTCGGCACTCACCGGCCGGAGGAGCCGGCGTCGGACGTCGGCGGGCCCGGCACTCATCGGCCGGAGGAGCCGGCGTCGGACGTCGGAGGGCTCGGCACTCACCGGCCGGAGGAGCCGGCGTCGGATGTTGGCGGGCTCGGCACTCACCGGCCGGAGGAGTCAGCGTCGGACGTCGGAGGGCTCGGCTTTCACCGGCCGGAGGAGCCGGCGTCGGACGTCGGAGGGCTCGGCACTCACCGGCCGGAGGAGCCGGCGTCGGACGTCGGCGGGCCCGGCACTCACCGGCCGGAGGAGCCGGCGTCGGACGTCGGAGGGCTCGGCACTCACCGGCCGGAGGAGCCGGCGTCGGACGTCGGCGGGCCCGGCACTCACCGGCCGGAGGAGCCGGCGTCGGACGTCGGCGGGCCCGGCACTCACCGGCCGGAGGAGCCGGCGTCGGACGTCGGAGGGCTCGGCACTCACCGGCCGGAGGAGCCGGCGTCGGATGTTGGCGGGCTCGGCACTCACCGGCCGGAGGAATCAGCGTCGGACGTCGGCGGGCTCGGCACTCACCGGCCGGAGGAGCCGGAGTTGGACGTCGGCGGGCTCGGCACTCACCGGCTGGGGGGAGCCGGAGCCGGAGTTGGACGTTGGCGGGCTCGGCACTCACCGGCCGGAGGAGCCGGCGTCGGGCGTCGGCGGGCTCGGCACTCACCGACCGGAGGAGCCGGAGTTGGACGTTGGCGGGCTCGGCACTCACCGACAGGAGGAGCCGGCGTCGGAGGTCGGCGTCCGGGTGTGGCGCCGAGTTACTGGGTCGGTCGAACCATGGCGCCGATAACGGCGGGAGAGCGCCCGGCCTCCGTCAGCCGGCCTCGGCCGGGGCCGGCTCAGGCGGGGCAGCATGGAGCGGGACAGGGCGGGGCTGCTGGCTGTTACGGCTGTCCCCGGTGGCGGTGTTCGGCCGCAGCCGGTGGTCGCTGAGGGGGAGACGGCGGGAGAGCGCCCGGCCTCCGTCAGCCGGCCTCGGCCGGGGCCGGCTCAGGCGGGGCAGCATGGAGCGGGACGGGGCGGGGCTGCTGGCCGTTACGGCTGGCTGTCCCCGGTGGCGGTGTTCGGCCGCAGCCGGTGGTCGCTGAGCCGCGCCCGTCAGTGCTGAGTGCAATCGTGCTTGATATCGAGAATTGCGTGGGAAGGCAAGTGTTGCGACGGTGTGCCGTGTGGGGACCAGGCGGAAGCGGCTTCAGTCCACAGGGACCGTCGCGACGTTCATCGGGATCAGGCGCGTCTGGAGAAGTTTAGCCGGATCAGATGGTGTCCCAGAAAGTTCAGAGGGATTAGGCGGGATCTGGAAAAAGTTTAGCGAGAGCACGCGGGGCCCAAAAAAAGTTCATGGAGATTCGGCGGGGACCGGGAAGCTTCAGCAGTATCAGGCGGAATCTAGAGAAATTAGCGAGATAAGACGGGGACCAAAAAGGGTTCATAGGGATCCTGTGGGGCTTGAGAAAGTTCACAGGGATCAGGTAAAAAAATCAACGCAATTGTAACGACGAACAGGTTAGCGGGAAGGATGACCTGCGCACGTCCTCACATTAGACTGTAGAGAACAGAGGAGCGAGAGAGCTGACACTATGCTGTGGGTCTCGACCGGGACCGCCGCAGGCAGCATCGTAAGCACCGGAGGTCTTGCGGCCGCCATGGTTATGGATGGAACAGTTATTAGAATGCCAAGCGGTTGGAACTTTTCATGTGTTTAATGGACTCGTTGTTGAGAAGCATGCCTCATCTCAGCAGGACATTGCCGGCCTGTGTCGTCTGATGAGCTGGGGGAGCAGCTGTGCCTGACGGTCTCGGTCGTGGCGGCGGTGACGCCGGGCCACGGGCGCAACCCCCACCTGTCGCCGCCGGTCGGTCCTATGCTAATAGCAATTATTGTTCGCCTATTTACTGGCGCCTGTAGCTGGTGCGACCCTTAGCGTCGCCACATGGAGACGAAAGCATTGCCCAGGCACTTTCTCCTGCGACTAGAACTCTGATCTCTTGATCATCGGTACATCGCCTGCAACCGCGCGGTCACTGGCGGGCCGGCCGGGCCTTTGTCGACTGACTCGACGGACCGCGCGGCGCGGCTCCGCGGCCTTTTAGCCGCTCCATCACCGTAAATCGGGCGGCGACGGCCGCGGGCCGATTTGAATTCGGCGGACGGTGGACGGACGTCGTGATCGCTCAGCGACCACTCGGCCGGCCGCTGGCTGGCTACTTCCTGGGCGCGGCCGGCCGCCGACCGGCAAATATTTACCGGCGCCGCGCCGCAAACAGGGGACGTGCCGCCGCCGCCGCTCGGCCGCGGACATTAATTATCGGCCGGGCGGCCGGAGACGGACTGCGGCGGGCGGCTGGAGACGGACCGCGGCCGGCGGCCGGAGACGGACCGCGGCCGGCGGCCGGAGACGGGCCGCGGCGGGCGGCCGGCGCGTGCAGGGCCGCCGCTTCTTGGGTGGGCTGAGCGCGGGTTGGGCGGAACACGTCTCCGCGGAGACGAGCGGCCGGCGAGCCGGGTGGTGGCTCTGCGCAGCTGCTGCACCGGCTCCAGCACCGGCTCCGGCACCGGCACCGGCACCGGCACCGGCACCGGCACCGGCACCGGCACCGGCACCGGCACCGGCACCGGCACCGGCACCGGCACCGGCACCCGGGTTCGTTTACGGCTCCGGCTTCGGCTCCGGCTTCGGCTCTGGCTCCGGCTCTGGCTTTGTTTGCGGCTCCGGCTCCGGCTCCGGCTCCTGCTTCGGCTCCGGCCCGGACCGGGCGCCAGCCCAGCAGGAGCGAGCTCAGTGCCGAGCGGCCGCTACCGCCGGCGGCGATGTGTCCCCGGGGGTCGGTGTCGACCGTCCGTCATCGGAGCGGCGGCCGTCGGCAGGCGGCGGCGTCGGCGCCGGCGGTGGCCGAGTCCGTGTCATATCGTGTGATGGTCGGCCGGCCGGCGCCGATTGAGCGCGGCGGATTGGCGGCCCAGCCGGCGGATGAGCAGCGATATCGGCCGTCCGATGTGTCGCGTGCCGAGCCGGCGACAGGCGGCACCGCCGCCGCCGCCGCTGCCGGCGGGCCCCGGCCGAAATCA